CGTGATCCACTATTCATCGAATAGACAAAAAATGTGGATTGAATGGATGAGAGTCTTCAGAAAAGCGAGAGTTCCAAGAAGGGTTGCACAAAGAGTGAGTGAAGGGGGATAAAAGAGATATGAATAAAGGTTTGGAGGGTAACAAGAAAGATGGAGAAATGAAATGAGTCACAACCATACTCAAAGGTTTCCGCCGTACTTTGTTCTCTGCAAAAAAAGTTATAGTCAGAGAACAAGAAGAACACGAACGGAAATCTAATGATTGAAGATCATTCTTATATTTGCAATTATTAGAGTTAGCTGAGTTGAGTAGTTAGCTGAGTTGAGTAGCTGAGTTGAGTAGTAGTTAGCTGAGTTGAGTAGCTGAGTTGAGTAGTAGGGTAAAATGAATCGGTTGAGTTCGATCAACATTGTATTAAGTACCGGGCATTGTTCATTCTCAACATTCTACGCATTTTACAATCCCTTTGAGTTCCTTGAAGTTTGACTGTTTCATCATTAGGCTTTGGATGGCTTTGGATTGTTCTTTGTACTCAAAAAATCTAGAAACACACTCTTTCTAACATACATAGCCTTTAAATTTTATAGAAAGGATAAAGGATGGTTGCGTGAGCGAGAAATTGTGTGCTTTGATTTGATTTTGTAGCAAGGTGGCTTCAAAAGGTCATCGCCTTCTTTTTAGCGCTTACCAACATTTGCACACCATGTTCCCACAAAATTTGTTTTGACACTCAACGACATTTAAACACGTTTTTTTTGCACAAAGCAACATTTGCACACAATTTACGCTTTTTTTTGTTGTACATACGACTCATTCATAATTTAGTTTGTTTATATTTGTTAAAATTTAATTGATAGGTTATCGCTAGCGCTGAATTTGATTTTCATTATCGTTTTTGTTCAAATTACTTACCGTAAATACTGTAATAGTACCCCACCCCCATAATGACGGTGCGGAGTGTTGCGTAGTCGAGCTTTGAACGAGTTTTTCTCGACACTGTTTTATGCTAGAATGCGCGCTTAGGTATCAAAAAAATAGCCCTGAATTTCAGCTATTTTTTGATACCAAAGACGCATTTTTTTGAAAGTATAGGAGAATTGTTGTTGTATTGTAATAAGAATCACTAAAATTGTGTGCAAATGTTCTAAGTGCTAAAAAAAGGAGATAATGGGGGTCCCCTCAGAAGGTAGACTACGCCAATTACAGAAGACTATCAATCCTCATCAAAACTAATGAGTCAATTCCAACTTTTTATCCAATCCAATCAATACAGTAGACCTGAGGTATATTAAATTGACTGCTTGTTCAACAGAGATCTTTTCTATTCCTCAACATTTCTAGGCTCTTCGTCACCTTCTTCATTCAAGCACCGATCATGCATCGACCTCTTCAACCGTCCATCGCCGGCTTCTAAAACAGGCGATTCTTCGAAATCCTCAAACAAAGCGCTTTATCTTCGCGATTTATCAAAAAGACTTTAAACTATTCAAAAACTCTAATAAATCGTAATTTTGAATCTTTTTACAGACAAAAAGATTATACCTTGCAAAGATTGATCGGCACTTTGTCGGCAAATCCGGAAAGGGGAATCCGATTTGGTAAGTTTCTACATGAGTTTTCTAAATTGAATTTTCTCTTTTTCTCGAAAACTGTTGATGCGAATAAGCGCTTAAAAAGAGATTAAAGAGAAATCTCATAAAAAGTGTCCGAAAAAAAAACGGCGCATTCAATCGGAGAATCCGAAGATTATCCACTGATTCAAATGAATATTCACAGAAAAATTAGGGGGAAAGATGAGGGGAAATTCGAATAATATCTGCAAAAATGGGAAGTGGGGGCGGTTTGGATTATCTTATTATTACATTTTTAAAGTTTTTCAGTTATCTGAATATCAATTTGTATCCCATTAGACAGCTTGGGATTGGGGGTTTCCCGAGGAAAAAAAAAACGATAATGAATGAGATGGAAATAGAAATATTCTGCTACGGCTTTATGTTACAGAGTTTCTTGGGGTTAATCGGTGAAACAATTTAGGAAAAAGGAAAAAAAGGATTTCCCGAGGAAAAAAAAGCGATAATGAATGAGGTGGAAATAGAAATATTCTGCTACGGCTTTATGTTACGGAGTTTCTTGGGGTTAATCGGTGAAAAAAATTTACGGGTGGAAATTTCTTTGGACTTTGGATACTCCACTTTACACTTTAAGTGTTATTTAAGTGTTCAAGGTTTTTCAAAAGGTTCAATCAAAAGGTTTTTAAGGTATACAGTTTCACTCGATCCTCATCAAATCATCTCAAATCATTTTTTGTTTGTTTGCAACTTTAGCTATTTTTTGTTGTTGCTTCTGCTGAAAACTTTGTCTTCTACCGATGCTGCGATTTTTTAACCAAAGTTAAGTTGCTTTATTGAATAGATCGCTTTGTTTTGTCATTTTTTTTCAGGTAGATGAAAGACTTTCAATGTTTCAATATTTCAATGGCAATTTTAACAATCAACATGTGAAAAAAACAACAACAAAAGGTGACAATTTAATGTTTTTAATGAAACTTTGAATTAGAATTGATCAGTATTTTCCTTATGCCAGAATACGACAAACAGACGTAATTACGGAGCGTCGCGTTTGCGCACAGGCAGACGAACGTCTCTTCTGCTTTATATCTAGTAGATAAAGTATAGAGTGACAACTCAACATACAGTTCATAGCCACTCACATTTCCTAATCGCGCCATGCTCACAATATTCCATGAAAAGAAGCAGCTCATCTTCCCCTCATCGAATTCAAATTCCAATCCGATTGGTTGATCGAGATATTTCACAATATTTCGATGCACCAAATCTTTGAGAACGCGAATCTCTCGTTGTTGATCATCTAGCCGCGAGCTGATTGCAATCTCTTTTATCACTATTGGACTAAGATTTTTAATGTCGAAATTTTGGTGACTCTTTATTTGTATTATCTAAATAATATCTAATTTAAATCTGAACTAATAACTTAAATAACTCTACAGAAATCAGAATCTAAAATTTCGGGATTATTAGGTTGATGCATAAGTGTTTTTGTTCCTTTTCGTCTGCCGTTTCAAGCCAACAAATGCACCAATTAAACTACGGTTGATTTCATTAGAAAAACCAATTATTTTTCTGCAAAATAACATTAAAACGGGTTTAAAAATATTTAATGCCTGGATTTTCTTGAGAGTATGAAGTCGGGTAGTCAAAAAGGGCTAACTCGATGATGCGGTTTAGACACCTTAGCTAAAGAAAACCTATCTTCGTGTCAATAGATAAAAGATAGAGAAAAAAAAGTTTGATATTTCGCCAAAATTTCAGAGAAATTCATTCAGCCAATTTTTCCGTAGAGTTTTTTATAGATTTTTACGAAAAAGGCGTTTTTCACTCTCGAATTTGCTTCAAAGTGAACCGAAATTCATTTAAAAAGATGCAAATTGAACAAAAAAACACTTTTTTTATAGAGCAGACTATAGATTAATTGGTGAATTTGTTACTTTTTAACAGAAGTACGAAAAAAACGAAAAGACTTTTGCATCAACCTAATAGCTTGAACTAGTGAACGCTAAAGATGAAACACTTTTTAAACATTCTTTTTATTGATCATGCTCACGTTTTCCTTTCTATTTTGTTATTTAATAAAATTTCAAATTCTTAAATTAATTGGGCTTAATTGAAAACCGATTTTCAAGTATTCAGCAAAGTTTAAATCAAATGTTTACTTACGGATTCAAATTTTCAAAAATTCAAAATATTTGGATGCACCAAATCTTTGAGAACACGAATCTCTCGTTGTTAGAGTGACAACTCAAAAATAGCTAAAGTTGCAAACAAAAAACAAATGTTTTTTGGGCAAAAAGGCGGATTACGGTACTTAGTGCATTTTAGTGCGCGGAGTGCATTTTAATGAATCATTTAAAATTCATAATAAAGTTTTCTTTGAGACCATAAATTTCCAGGTCGAGAATGACAAAATGTTTCCTCGGAAAATGCTTGCCCGTGTTTCTCTATTGTACACAAATTTCACAATTCATCAAAAGCTTTTTGCGGAAATTCAACACAACTTTCTACCCAATTAGCTGTTTCAACGTTTCGCGTTCTCCGGCTTCTCTCACGGGTTCTTCGCGTTCTTCGCGCCACGCAAAAACACGCGGAACGCACTAGCCTCGAAATGCCTCGATTGACCGAAGGTCCACTCAGTTGTTGTGCATCATAGCTCACCTCTTTCATCATATCACTGTTTCAAAGTCACGGTCTTGCAACCGGATGCTTTAAGCTCGGATCAACCAGATATGAAAACGCATGATAGCTCCGTATAGCTCAATGATCCTTCCAGATTGCTAGCCCGGGTTAAAGACTAAGCCATGCATATCTTAGTTCAGATATCTGGTTGATCCTACCAGGTGGTCATCTCAGGCTCAGGCCACCAAGTGGTCACCAATCTCCAAAAAAGCAGGGAATTTTTCGGGTTCTGTATACGCTATAAATAACATCTTTCGCCTTTTTTTTCTGAAGATTTGTGGTGTCCCTCGATTTCTGTATATGAGATATCACTCAAAAAGGATCCCGCCTCATAAAAGCTCTTTTCAAACATTTCAACACATTTTTCAATGTATTACATTTTACCATAATGAACTTCATAGTTAACGATGATAAATCCATTTCATCCTACCCTACCCAATTACCGCATTCATTCTCCAAAAACGTGGCACACTTTTCAAGAATCGTATACGCGATAAATAACATCTTTTCTATTCTCTTCTCTTCGAATTCTCCTCAAAAATTAATCCAAAAAAAGAAAAAAACCTTCAGTCCCTCTTTTTCCGGGATCGCTTTATGAAATGTGTCACTTCTCCCAATATATAAAGACAAAATACCTGAGATAAGCGACTTTTCTGAACACGCTTCTAAAAATCGAAAAAAAAATTGATTCAAAATTCAAAACTCCAACTGACCCAATGGATCTCGACGATATTTTTTCGAAGGAGACAATGACTTTATTCTTTTCGAGGATCACAGCTAATGAGTTGCAATCTGTAAAGGATATCTATTTCATTTGCAATCCATCGAAACCTGAGATGTCGAGGTTTGAAACAATGTTAAACAAAACTAAACTCATATGAATATCCAATTTAGATAAGATTACCTATTTAAAACATTCATAGTTAACTTCAACTTCATAGTTAACGATGATAAATCAATCTTCAATCGAAAAATTCCTTTTGTTTGTTTAGATATTTAGAGAACAGTGAGAAGAAAAGCTTCTTTTTTTTTGCTTACTATTGTCTTTGTGAATGATTTGACACATTATAGAATTCATTTTTAAACCACATTGAAATTCATGAATTCTATATTTGTAATTTTTATTTAAAGAAAAATTCGAATCAAATCGACACGTCCGTTGAACAGCTGGGATCCCAACTGGGCCAGCGTTATCAACCCGGAACCGGAAGATGATCCTCGAACGTAATTATTGTTTATTATTATTTTTTAGCATTATTATGGCAATATAGTTATACAAGAAAATTGTTAGACTAGCTTTTGTGTCTGTTTCCCATCAGTAGGAGCAAGTGCCGGGCTTCAGTAGGAGTAATTTCACCTCTCCTATCATCAGGAAACTCTTTAGGTATGTCGTCGATGAAGATTTTCGCGCAAAAAAAGTCTGGGAGTACTACAATGCTCATAAGGTTAATTTTTCACTCACTTCCAATTATCATCTTGATATTATACATTTTTGCAAATTTCAGGCTGAATTCTTGAATATTTCGAGTGTTGAACAACAGAAACGCCTAGGCGAAGCGACAAGTGAGCGAAAATCTCTACAATCCTATGCTTTTACCTTCTCTTAGTTAAATTACGAGAAATTTTTCTCAAACTCTATTAGTTAGTAAACTATTTCTAACTATCATCTTATACATAAAATATTCCTAATCTAAAAAGCTTTAGATGAGACGGGTGGATCGTTTCTATTTCATTGCGATCGGGGCGACCCACAAATCGTCCTCAAATTGGCTAAAGGGTTCATCGCTTTGGCTAAAGGTTTGGTCTTGAATATCTGAAAGTTATCAATATAATCCTCAAAACATGATTTCCATATAGCAATCAATGATGGATCGTTTGACGTTCCCGATCTTCTGGCCATTTCGATGAGAGTCACCTCTCCGGTCCACACTTCACGAATCAAGGTTGGAGTGATTGTAGAAACATTGTTCAGGGTGCCCCAGAATTACGTAAACCAGCGCGCGCCACTTTAAAGTGTCCGAAGCGAAAAAGTGCCTCATAGAAGTTCATCTCCGGACTCAAAAACATTTCGGGAATCGGATTTGGTGTTTTCAACAGAACGCCTGCCCAAAAAGCTCGAATTGTTCAGGAATGGTGCTAACGGAACTTCCCCGATTTCATTACTTTCAATCAGTGACCACCCTCATCACCAGATTTAAATTGGATGGGTTAGAGTGTTTGGAGTGTACTCGAAGCAAAGACATGCCAAAAGCCTCATTCCAGCATTGATTCTCTTAAGAAGTCACTCGAAAAAGCTTGGGACCAGCTCGACGTCCCATACCTTTCTGCCACCGTCGATGCGTTCCCAAAACGCCTGCAAGCATGCATAACCACAAAAGGAGATCTTTTTGAGAAAAAGACAAATCGATACCGACAAATCGAATGTCGAATTCTTGTTAAAACAATTGTTAAGAATAAAGTTTTTGTGTTTTTAACTCGATTTGATTTCTTATGGCTTCTACGGCTAGAAATCAATTGGTTCACTTAATTCTGAGGCACTCTGTAGAGTCTGTTCTATTCTAAAACAACTGCCTTAAATATAATCATTTAAAATTCATAAAGTTTTCTTTGAGATCATAAATTCCCAGGTCGAGACGGACAAATCGAATGTCGATGAAGAGATGCTCGCGAAGATTCGTCACATTCTATTATCAAGCGATTATAAAGCGAAAGTGAAAACAAATGTTGCAAGGTGAGCAAACGAAAGATCGTTATCTATTTAAATTTCAATAGAATACAAACCTGAAAAGTCTTTAGTTACTTAAACTGGATGCCCCGGGAAAGCTCGAGAGATGTGTTCAAATTTGAGTCACCGTTTGTTGAACAAAGAGGGAATATTGGTCGACTCGAAGAAGGGCTTAAGAAAATGAACATTTCAAAGAAGTAAATTTACCAGTATTTATGTTGATTATGCCATTTTCGTGTTGGTGATCACATTTCTGGCAGGTTTACTTCAGTTTCTGCAATATTTTGGTTGATAAATACTGCTGTTTAAGTATTTAAAACAACAAAAAACAACAAACGCAAAGCTTCTCTCATTTTTTGGTTAATGGAAGAGAAATGAATGCCACAATTTATACGTTAATATTATCAAATATCATAAATAAAAATTCTCTTTCATTTTTGTTTTTAAGGTTAAGGTGATGCTTTTCGAAATTTGCTGCTTGTTCGAGAAATGATTGAGAGAATGAATGTCCCGCTTTCATTGAGAGAATGAATTTCCCACTCGACTTAGGTTATCTTTTGGATTTCCGAGAAAACTTCAAACCAAAAAGATTTGTTTTAGAATTCTCGTGTCATCGAAATGATGAGATGAATATGTCCCGCTTTCTGTGTTCCCTCTCACTCGACTTACCGTAAATACTGTAATTGGACCCCATGGGGTACTATTAGAGCGATGGGGTCCAATTACAGTATTTACGGTAGGTTATCTTTTGGATTTCCGAGAAAACTTCAAACCAAAAAGCTTTGTTTTAGAATTCTCGAGTCATCGAAATTATTGAGATGAATATTTTGCGAATTTCAATGATTTCCCAAAATTTTAAACACTAAAAAATTTGTTTCATTAATGATCTTCAAGAGTTGGTCGATCGTCTAAAAGCGCAAAGAGCTTTACTTTTCCATTATAAAATAAAATATACATCATCTATTCATCTTTTGTTCAAATCTTGGTCAAGTGTTTGATCGTTAAACTTAACATTTCGAAATTTTACTATAAAATGTCAACCCCTAAACTAAATGTATCTACGGGAAGTCGAAGAGGGATTGAGGTCGTAAATCGAGTGTTTCTTGTGCAAAAAGAAGGAGCTTATCACTCTGCTTCTGGGAGTAAAAATTTGGGGAAAGGGGTAAAAAGCAGAAGTCTCGTCAATCGGGGCGAAGACACGTTGCTACCAGAGAAATCCTTATCTACAGGAAATTTTTCGATTGAATACCTGTTTTTGGGTGGTGTTTCAAGAGCGCTGAGACCAGGCCGACTCTACGTTTCGCATTCATTGTAAATCAACGTGAAAATCGGAGAAGAGAAGAAAGTGAAGACCGAAAATTGATTTCCCCTGGGTGATTCACTGAAGAATTTCCCCCATGGGGTGATAGGTTTGATCGATTTGAAAATGGAAAGACTTTGTAGCACTTGAAAATGTGTACGCTTGAGTGGTTTGAGTTGGGTTGACACTTGAGTTGACACTTGAGTTGACACTTGAGTTGACACTTGAGTGGCACATCATCCTGAAAGTTGCACTCTGAAAATCTGAAGACTTAGAGAGATCATTAGGACAGTTTAATTCATGGAATACTACAGGAATATTCCGATGAATAAATAGCTCAGGCCATGCCAGGCATGTCAAAACGAAGGCCCGATTTCTGGGATCTCTGATTTCTGAAATTTCTGAGCTTTTCTGAGATTGATTGATCGGCGATGAAGAATTAGTATTAATAGTGATATTTAGCAGGACAACTAAGCTCAATGTTCTTTTGACATGAAGTCTATAGATGTCTTTTAAACTTCGAATTGATGCAAAAACAGGAGCCGGTTAAAACAGCATACAAACAGCACCGTTCAAAATAATACGTTTGCGGTTAAGTTTCTTTTTGTTTCTTATTTAAATGTAGAAAAAAAATTAGCTATTTGCTGAATTTTTTGGAGTTGTTTAGAACAAATCTGGGATGAGAAAATGTCAAAAAAAAAAAAAACAAAAAAGGGGCTCAAAAAGAGGTTAACTGAGCTTTTCTCGACAGGAAATGATCCCAAAGTGTGCAAAATGTAGATAATTTGATTCTGCATTCAATAAGAATAAGAAACAATAAGAATAATTCAATAAGAATAAGAAACACATAGAAAATTAATGACGAAGGGCTATTTTTGTTGTTTTTTTCGCATTTTTACCCAGATTTGTTCTAATTCAGCAGACAGCTATTTTTTTTACATACAATGAAAATAAGAAACACAAATGCATTATTTGCATTTGTGTTTATTTTGGTCAAATGCAAACCGCAAATGCATTATTTTGGCCGACGCTGTTTGTACATGGTACTCTTTTGACCAGCTCCCTAGTTTCTGGTTGATCTTTGGATCTGAATCTGAAATTGAAGCTTAAGCATTCACGAGTACAACCGTTTAACTCATAGAATATTAACCTAACTCCTTGGCTCTAAAATTAAAAGCAAACATCCTTTACAATTGGCTATTTGTAAGCTCGAAAAACGTTAAACAAGATCTTTTATCTTTATGTCTATTTCCAGTGCCATCAGGAGACGAATTAACAAATTCTTCACTCATTCTGTTGAAAGAAGTCACAAATGGACATATTGTGAAAGCTTTGTCATTACTAGCTAATTTGATGATAACTCAAAAAAAAATAGCACTAAAAAAAGCCCACTCCCGTGTGACGTTTTTATCTAGAAGTGTTTCGTCTCAAACAAATCTCAAACATTAAGGTCAAAATTGATTTGCAATCACAATACTTCTACGAAAAGCTTTTGAAGCGAATAAAAAAGTGCAACTGAAAGCTATAATAAGCTAATAAAGTACTCAGACATATAGTTAAAGCCTTGATCATTAGTAGTTCTCCCACTCGAAAGTTGTTTCTAGACCATAGACTCAAACTCAATGTTGAATCTTGCTAAACCAAATCTGTCAAATCTGGCTGAATAAAGTTACAAGAACAAGTCTTTGAGCAAGTTTAAACCATGCCTCGCGTTCAGTCATTTGTCTACTGAAAAATGTCATTACGTCTTTGCAGCTATACTTTAGTTTTAGCTTCAGTTCAACATTCTCAAACGTTGCGCAAAATCACGCAATCAATGGGCAGTAAAGTACACTCGCTTTCGCCAAATCGAATCTCCGATCTCAGATTGATTTGACTGTGTGATTCACGAAAGAATTCGCGTGTTGGCCTCTTTTTTCTGTCAAATCTGGCTTTTTTTTCTCGTTCCCAACTCATCAAAGAAAGATTATTTTTGACTCCAACGAGATATCGAAACCGAAAATTGATTCTTTATGGCTCGGATTCATTAAATTACCCTTATAGATAGGCTATGTCAATAAGCCAGTCATCAAATGGATGACTTTAAACAAAGAGATCACGACAAAGAGATTCGGTGAGCTGAAAGGAATAAAAACCTTTACTGATTTGAATTGGGGAAATGGAGTTTGTGGAAAAAAATAGAGTCGTAAATTTTAGGTGTGGCAGAGGAAACACAAAAAAAAAGCAGAAAAATCGTAGTTTTCAGCAAAACAAGCTTGTGAAAGTGCAAAAACAATTTCTCTCGGCAAAGAATGTTAAAAAATGTGTTTAACGAGTGTAAAGCTTATGAAAAAAAACTGCGGCTCTTTTCCGTTATACATCCACTAAATTTGCATCCTTCCATGAAAATGAACAAGGAAAACCATAGAAAATTCATTCTTTTGCTATTTCCTGACGGGTGGATTCATGTTTCGCTTACCGAATATCGAGACCGATGCAACCTCGTTCTTTCAACAACGCCCGATCTTGCTTACTACTCGCACATGCGCCAACCATCACTCTATGAAGCTATCGCTCAATCAAAATCCCCGTTAGAGATGTGACAAAACGTTGCGCCGGGCAGCGATCGACCTGCGTGTTGGCTCATGGATGGAGGGTACCAAAATTCCGTTTCATACAATCCTACGATTCTGGATGGACCTATCAAGGGTTATTTTTGTGGATGTTTAACGGAAAAGTACCAAAAATGCTTAATAGGTGTGTTTTAAAGTAATCTTTAATAGAAAACACTTGTATTAGAAGTCTGAAATTGAAATCGAGATGCAATCAAACGCATCGAAAATTCCAGATTTGCATTGAGGAGATTGAACTTCATTAGCTAAAGGCAAGTTGGAAGATGTGACTTACTTTCTAATGTCACAATGATCAATTGGGTCTTTGTAAGTAAGGCAGATCAGAGCTCAATAATTTTGTTACATAGCTTTGTTAGATAGTTTTGTGACCAAGCCATCTCAAGACTTGAATTGTGCCCAATTCACTCAAGCATTGACTGCTTTCTTTTATTTAAATTGACTTTGTTTTAAATTTTACATCATTTTCTTTTTCTCCACTTCCCCCAAAAAACTCAAATAGTACTTTTCTTGATTTATTCTCCTTCTTTTTTGTGTGTGCTTGTGTCGAGAGGGTGGATTGGTAGTAAATCTTTATCTTTATCTTTTTATTCCGAGCTTTCCAAAGACGGGAAAATGGTTGCGTAGATTGGGGAAAAGGATGTGAGGAGAGTAAAAGTGATAAGAAGAAGATTTTTGAATGTCCTTTCTTTCTTCGCTATTTTTCATAACCATATCTCACTACTGGCTTCAAGTGGATGCGAATCCAAGCAGAAAAATGAAAAAGAAAGAAAGAAAGAGATTCTTCTTGAAACAAAGCTTTTATTCTAGTTTTTGGCAAAATCGATCCGGTATGGAAGAAGTCAAAAAGCGGATCTAGACAAAAACCAGAGTAAACTAGAACTAGAACTAGTTTGAGCGAAAAAAGATACAGCAGCTGATTGTAAAAAAATAACACAAAAAAAAGTGTCGATCATGATTCCATTTTTATCAACAATCAAAGAATCTCGTTACTTATCTTTTTGTTGAAGATTCTTTCACGAAAGTGATTTGCGTTGTCCTTTTGTTGTTCACTTTAGTTTCATCCCGTTTGCTGAGCATCAAAATACAGATGACACTGCAATGATTTCTTGATAAAACATCAAATTTAATGCTTTTTTCAGTTACTGATTGATTAGAATATAGAAAATAGAATATTTTCAAGTTTTTCAAGTTATGAGATCTCAGTCGTTTAATTCATATAAACTTTTTTTTGTTAGAACCAAGATCAGCCGGTACTGAGATCTTAGAATCAAGATCAACCGGTACCA